CCCCCCCCCCCCCCAGATGTCATTTAAACATTTCCGCTAACGCGTATCAATGTAATCCACAGCTTACGAGGCTATGTGAATCCGATTGTGCCGGTGCCAAAGCGAATTCATATCGAGTGCAACGCTGGGGACACAGAGCACGTGAGATAAATGGAATGCATTAGGCTACTGCACGACTGTCAACAGGTTCATACATATTATATTGCTCTAGATCACAGGATATTTAGGAGGAAACTAAACGCGTTAGGCTACTGCACAAGTGTGATATAAATTTGAAAGTATTGCACTGCTCTATGTAAATATGTAGCATTATCAGATTTTTATGAAATAACAAGCAAATAAAAAATATAATCTAGTCAGAACTCATTCGCACATCAACATGTTTTAATCGATAGTTGTTTTATTAACTTTTATGTTTTAAAATTAATCATTTTTAAGATTTGCAGATGACAAAATGTCATAATTAGTCTAATTATGACAGTAAAAAGTCACCCTGTAGGCCTGCTCTGTCCGTAGTATCTTTGTTCTGTGTAGAAAAGTCCGGCTCCGATCTCCTCGGCCAGTTGGTGCGGCAGTCCACCGCTCGCCCAGTCGGGGGAGATGGTCCAGGGTCCGCCCAATACTATCACGATGTTGTTAGTTCTCGTGAACTCATCGTTATAGTAATATCGCTGTAATAATAAAACTGATAGTTAAAAAACCTAAAAACTGTGATTAACTGTACTTAGGGAAAATAACGAACACATCACTCACTGAAATTAGTGTGTTTTCATCACAATGAAATTTAAATACATACAATTATTGTACGAGCCATATTTACAAATAACATATGAATCACAGTGGGTTTCCAAAACCAAAACCCACGTTTAAAATATAGTATCTCTGTGTTTTTATTAGAACTAAAGAATATAAGACAGGGATGACGATATTATTTATATAGAGATTTTGGTCTCAAAAACAAATCATTCGAGTAATAACATAAGTACCTTAAATTGTTGTGTCATGGACAAAAAAAAACAGTATATATGGAAGAAGTTTGATAACGTTGGTGTGAAATCATACAAATATTTCTATAACATGGCAAGAAAGCGAGACAAGTAGTTAATACAAAGGAATTTTGATTGATAACAAAACTGATATAATCTGGAGACTAATAAGCAGACTCTTGTTGGATAAATTTAATGTGTTTACATGACATTGTGTTACTCACCATTTGAAAGGTGTCATTGTTTGAAGCATCGAAGTGGTTGAGTCTGACAGGCAACCAGGCGAGCACGGGGGCTGCGGGGCTGCGCGGGGTCGGTGGCGGGGGCTCGGACACAAGCGCCCCAAGGACGGGACTCGCGAAAAAGAGTAGCAGTACTGATTAAGGAAATTCAATTTTATTGCTTTTGTATTAAAGTTTAAATTTAAACGTCAACTTCTACTATAAAAAATCACGTATTAACGAGTATGTTAAATCGTCTTAAAGATATTAAAAAATTAGCATACAGCTATGTTCCCGCTCCTTAACAGTTATTTGAAGGTACATTTAATGTTTATACTTACACATTTAGTTCAGTTCACAAACACAATAATAATAAAACACGTGCAATAGATTTAGTATAACACAAACACTGACATCGCCAATTTACACTAATCAAGTAAATATCTATTATCAAGGCTTATCTAAAATTGTCGTCCAATTGCCCCGCAGTAAACATGTGTAACTCAACTTTCGTCATATTTATTAAAGAGGTACTTAAGCCAAATTTAAAATAACGCCAAGTGACGTTTTCTGATATATACTTACCGTGGATTTCTGAGACCTAAATTCCCATTTAAAACATATTGCTATCTCTGATTCGTCAAAAATAATGATGAGGGATGTCGATAATTTTATTCTTAATCAAAAACTGTCTTCTTAACCCTTAACGGCCGGCAAAAACAAAATCGGGAAAACGGAATACAATTTGACATATTGAGTAATATTCTATAATATTTTATAATTCTTCATTATTCTTCCTTAAAGTAGGAATTTCTTAGAAAATGTAATGTTTTTGTTTAGGTGCGCAGTGAGGTGGCGGCGCAAGGGTTACACAACGTCCAGCTGACGAGCGCTGGTGCGGTCACGTGGTCTGATTCACGGTCAAATTTGTACACCGATACCACTTCTATAGACGCGGCATCGAGCGCACCTTGATAAAAGTAGGATCCCAGAATAAAAAAACACAATATGACACTTTGTCACGCCTCTATAACTGTTACAATCTTTTTTTATATTATAATAAAAGGTGATAAACGAGCAATCGACAATTTGAATTCGCTATAATAGCGAAATGATCGCTACCCATTGATGTAATAGATGATTGCCGGTTGGCAGTGACTGTCTAAATTCAAATGTAGGAATGACTTACCTACCTTTATTGAACAGAGAAGGGGGACAAACAGAAAGTGGATATTCTCCCTTTCTATGTGTAGTTTACCTCTCCCGCTATAAGAAAATGGCGGGAAGGAACAGACGACTAGAATTTATCCAATACAATGCCACATCCAGTAGATACACAGGTACACGCATACACGTGTCTGCAGTCGCGTGCGGTTGCTACTGCAAGCAACTGCCATGAGTAACTTGTGGGGCGTCACTCGAGCGCGGTTTTCTCACGATGTATGTACGTAGCTATTGTCTTAATTGTGGTAAGAAACTGGTGTTATGTTGACAATCGACATGTCTTTCCTTATGCGCCTTCAAATATAGAAGATGTATTGATCAATTTGCTTTACATTTGACTAGCCTGCGCCCGCGATTTCGTTTTCGGAATTGGAAAAAACCTTTTCTTAAACTGTTGTTTAATTTCAATTTCTTAAACTAAACGCTTACTTATGGATATAATTAACTATTCTGTCAGTAGCTGTTAAATAATTTAACACAGATTATTATCATGTTGTCGCCCACATAGATAAGTCAGTAACGAATTTGTCAATTCTTCATTAAAAAATTAGACCAAATGTTGATAAGTATTCTCTTTGGAATAAAAGATAAATATTATTACAACTAGACTCCTGAGAAGCCCTTGATTGTTATATAAAACTAGTTTAAACATAAAATATTCACATTGCTATTTGAAACACAATGCGGAAACTTGCAGCGTCTCTTTGTCTGAGATACATTCAGACTGGTTAACACTGGCGACCCTTTTTGGTTCGTAAAGGTCGTGTGAAACGTTGTCACCAAGAATTTTATTCGCTGATTCATATTTAGTAATAAAACAGGTTAAAAACAATATGCTCGTCATATTGTAAATGTAAATATTTCTATGACGATAATAAAAGTTATAGATATTAATAGAAATTAACATTTTTATGCTTACGTTTAAGTGAGAATGTGAGTGAGTAAAACATGAACAAAATTAATAATTATTGCATGAAATAAAATAAACAGTGACAACCCTACAGACTTAACCCTTGCACGGTTGTTCCATACACGTCGGTATTAGGAACGAATTCATTTAAAAAGAGTATATGAAAGGATAAATACAACGGGACGGGGATTTAACCTTACGACCACTCGAGACAATTAAAACACTGAAAGGACTTATCGCTGAGCCGGGGCGCGCGCGCGGGCGATAGATGGCGCTGTACTGTACGCCCGTAATCTGGGGATATGCGATGATTTATACGAGTTCTGTGAAGTGTTAAGTGCGATTGGATAGGGCTGTGCCACACAAATGTTCTTCATATTACAATATCGATAACTTTACAGACCTTAATCACTAAACCTTACCTTATTCCAACCTGATTTTGAATTATTTTATTAGGGCAAACAAGGATCCGGCCATCTGACTCCGCTAAAATGGCGAAACGACCGCTGCAATATCAAATGCATTGCCTACCTTCAATCAACGGAGGAGAAGAGATACAGAAAGAAAATATTTTCCTCCTCGATGAAATCAAGTTCCACTTCCCAAACTTTCCTTATAAGAAAAGGGTGGAAAAGGAAAGAGGACTAAAATAAGACCTCCCGAACGCAAGTTGCCTAACTGTCTCATATCTAATAAAGAATATTGTTTACTATGACTGTATGTTGCTGCTCCCTTCGATGTTGTACTAACCGATGTCATTTACTTTATAGGTTTCTATTTAAGAACTCTTTAACTTTCATTGTATCGTCATAGATAAATAACTTCGGTCAAACGTGCGCTACATATCAAGACATATGTAAATCAACAAAAACATGCCTTTGTCTACTGACTACCGTTTCGCAAGAGGTCGTGAGCATGGCGAGCACATTCTTGTTGTGACTAAACCATTGCTGCCTTATTCAGGGTAACGAGAGTGATTCACAAGTCATAAACGGTAGTCAATAAAATGTTCGCGACGTGAATTTGTAATCTGTTTATCGTAGACGTGTAATGTGTAATGGAGAAGATAAATGCGAATGTTTTGATGGATGGATTGGTTGTTAGAAGATATCTCCTGAACTGATCAATGGATCTCAATGATATTTGGCGCAGATGTAGAACATTGTCTGGAAGAACACATCAAATTCCAATTAAGTTCTTTTTTTATTACCGCACGAACGGAGTCGCGGGCGACAGCTAGTATGTTATTATTACTGGCAAAGAATAATTGTTATTCTGTCTGTCCTGTCTGCTCCTGTCTCTGTCACCACTTAAAGTTTCTGAGTGCGGCAGTTAACGTGTTCAACGTAATCAAAGTAGAATGCCTTCTCTATTAAAGTAGCTGCACGTTATTCGTAGCTCCGTGACGACGTCAAAGGGGCGGCTTTAAAAGGTTCCGTTTTGGAACGGCAACTGAAAGTGCAATGCACACCTGCGCGGACAGACAGACACAAAGACTATGTATATACTTACAACTAAACTAAACGTAAACTTACAAAGAAGTAGGTAAGTAAAACTTTTTGTGTGTGTGTTTTAGGTTGAATTTGTGTGGTGAGAATATTGTTGTATAGCTAAAGGTTTAATTAATAAGATAATTATTTTTTTTTTGTAAAAATCTTGAAATAGCGGACACAGAGAGGTCACACATTGATCAAGCAGCGTGGGGAGGCTCCTTAAAAGATAGACCTGGTAAAGGTTGCAGGAGTAAGCTTGGAGCGGGAACACAGAACTGGGTATAAGTCATCGATGGCTTATTCACAGGATGACATTTTTTTTTATATCATAAGGTGGCAAACGAGCGAACGGCCACCTGAAATCGCTGAAATAGCGAAGTGACCGTTGCCCATAGACATACGCAATTGCATATGCGTTGCCTACCTTTAATCGACGGAGGAGAAGATGCACAGAAAGAAAATATTTCCCCTTTCCATGCATTCTCTCATGCGGAAAGTCCACTTCCACTTCCCATCCTTTCCTTATAAGAAATATGACGGGAAGGGAAACAGGACTTATTTTGGCCTCCGGGACGTACACTCATCAGACGAAACGCGGAATTGCTTCCACTTCACGCCTGTCTTCTGGCGAGCCGGGCCGATTCGTGCGAAGATGTTAAAGCGGGCTCTACCACTGTTAAAACATAAAGAAAAAGAACTCGACCGACTGTAGGTCTCGTAGCCCCATGACATTCCTTTAGACAATCTTGTTCGGTTGTCAGTCATCAGTTGGCTAAAAAGCAACAACACTTCGTAAACTATATAACATAAAAAGCGAGCATCAATTAACGTTGCGTGCGGAAAGCATGTCTGAGCACAAGGCCGAGGACGACGCCATGTCAATTGTGTAACAACATGTAATTGTTCTGTAATAGAGTTTCAGACATTTATATAAACAATGTTGCCTTCACTACAATATTATATAACCTACAGATACTCTGTGATATCACTTTGTTATCTAGTTATACAAACTATTTATCCCTAATCAAAAATCTGATTTAAAAGACTATTAATAGTTGTTTTATTCCAGTTTATTAAAGAAATAAGCAACTGACTTTGAATTATATTGGTACATATTTAATAATGATTTTCTATCGTTTATCTCTAATATATTACGGATTTATAATAAAAAAGGGATCACATCGTTGGCCTTCTCTCACACACGTGGAGCCGGCAATCAAACTGTTATAATATAATCCCTAATGTTTAGACCTACTCTTTAAGAATACTGGTATTTAAATCTGCATGGACGAGTGCTTGAAACAAAACAATAAATAATATTATCTTAAGCGTCAATAGCCTAATGGTTAAGGATACGGATTTCCGACCACGAGGTCGGGGGTTCGAATCCCGCCATTTGACTATTGTTGTAAACCATATCCTAGCACAAGCGTACAGCTTTGTTGGAATGGTTAAAGAAATATTAGTAAATTTGCAAAAAAAATCTGCTAATATTTTATATAAAACAAAGAAAAAAAAATATTATGTTGGTCAATTTAATATTAGTAATTCTGTGAGGAATTTTTACAACGTATTACTTAATAAATGATAAAGACAACAAGTACCAAAACACATCATCATAAGATTCTTAGTATTAATAAATTGAATCTGTGTTCGTAGCATTTGGGTGTTAGTTCTCGGAACTACATGTGAGTCATACGCGCGCCGTACGCACAGACAGGTCACTACTGTATACATACTGTGATAGGGAAGTGCGTTGTTATGAATGAAGGTTTTTAATTAACTTACTCACCTTTACGTTTATAGTAAATTTACATAAATTGGAATATTCATTTCATTTAAAACCTTACACTTAACTTACCCGTAACTAATGAGTTACGCGACTTTTAACCGCAACAACTGAGAAATTATTAATTTTATTCTCTAAGACATTAGTAAGTACTAGCTGTCGCCCGCGACTCCGTATGAAAGCCTTTGTGATCTTCCAGAATATTCTCTACATCTGTTAAATTTCATCGAGATGAGTTGAGCTGTTTTGGAGACAAAAAACATCCATACATCTAAACATTTGCATTTTAATTTACAGCTCGAAGTTGTAGAAAACAAGACTATGTATTTTTTTAATTCTTAAATAACAACGGTTTTTAGACATCAGAGATAAAATTCGTTTCACTATAAAAATTCATAAGTGACTCTACATGACATAACATTATTAAAAACGTTTTGACAAGAAACCGGAGTCCGAACTTTGGAAATCTTATAATAACTTTATGAATAACTAAAAACTTTTCTGTTGGGTTTTTTCGTTAGCGACGCGGCTGCGCCCCGAGTCCCTAACTAAGTGGAACTTTGACGGCCAGTTATGGTAACTAGCCAGACATTCCACCCCCTGCCACCCCTATACTGGGGGTTCATGAATAAAATCATCCATGTGTTTATTAGGGAGAGTTTAAAAAGCATGTTTTTCAATACGCGAACATCCTAATGACGATTGCACACGGCACTAAAAGATTGGTAGTATATTACTTATATTACAGAAAAACATATTCATGTGTCTATTATTTCCGCAACTTTTACAATATCAACGTTCCTCTTATGAAAGATGAAATATATAATAATTATTTTAACAATTTCACTAATGTTACAAATGCCAAAGTTCAGATGGATGTTAGTTAGTGGCTACACGACGCAGCTCAACGGATCGCGATGAAATTTGGCATAGTTGTGGAACATAGTCTGGAGGAACACATACACTAGTAATTAAGTTTTTTTGGCGCAGTCGTAATCGTGGGTGAGAGCTAGTGTTGAAATATTGCATATTAATATATAAACATTTCCTACGCATAACATTTTAACTGAAACACGTAATTTATGTTAGATCAATAACAATAGCGTGTTACTATGTGGTCGCACCCTAAAATTGGATAAACCCCATTGTCGTTAATTATAGTACTCGCCTCGCCTACTGTCTTTACATCGACCACAAAATTGGTTTTGTAATAAGTATGAAGAACGCATAGTCATAATGAAGAATTCATGTAATCTGTAGAGAAATAATTAGAAACAAAAATATTAGTAGACAATTTTATTATTTTTCTGTGCGTCATTTTACCTGACAATTAGAGGTAGGCATCGTATATGAGATTGTGTAGGCAGCAGTCACTTCTTGCCCTTTGCCCTCTTGATGATACAAAAAACTTGTTAACAATATTTAAGTTTAATAAAAATATAAAATATATTATTTAAGCGCCGATAGGCTAAGGGTTAAATGTATTTGAACACGTGGACGTAAGTTCAGATTCCGACATCGAGTAATGTCGTATAACAAACCTAGAGCTTATTCTAAATGATCATTTGAAATATTGTAAGTGATAACAAAACGATCTACCACCATGTGATCTGTCGCACCATGTTGCTAAATAATTTAATCATAAAGACATACAAACCGAGCTATATATATACGTATGAGTAATAACAAATACATCGGCGATATCTCATTGTATTTGCTTTAGAAATTGGTAAAACATAACGTAAGCCAAGTCTTCAAAGACTGTTATAAAATGTCGTTATCAGAGAAATGTAGAGTGTGATTTTTTAGTAAGTTTTTGAGCTTAGAATTAAAATATTGTCAATAACTTTCGTATTATAACTTAGTAGTAACTTACCAGTAAAATTTATTTGAAAATGTACAAACAGTTCTATTCGAAAACAAAACAAAAATACTGAAAAAACAAAGGACGCTTAGAATTTAAGGAAGCTCGAGTTTATAATTACAGTAGCTGTCGCCTGCGACTCCTTCCGCGCAGAATTAAAAAAAAACTATTGGTCGCAGTGTAATGTTATATAGCCTAAAGGCTTCGTCTACAAATAGCCTATCCAAAAAAAAAAAATTCAAATCGGACCAGCAGTTCCTGAGATTAGCGCGTTTAAAAAAACAAACAAACTCTTCCGCTTTATAATATTAGTATAGATAGGAATAGTAAGTAGAAATATATTTTTTAATTATTAGATTCATTAAATTAAACAAGCTAAAGGTAAATTTTATAATTTAGGAATTTTCGCCTAAAAAATAATTTAGAAAGTTGAGAAATACCTAATGAATAACAGGAATACAACAATTATATTTAACATAATATTTCATGTCTCAGTAAAGTCATCTGAATAAACTTAAAACGAACTTTATCAAAAGCAGAGACTTACAATTGCATTTGTAAACTGGTTAATTCTAATTTAAGCTCATACAGATAGGTTTAGTTGGTCACAGTAACCGTTCAATTGACGTCCATTGAGACCAGATAAAAACTGTTTACAACTATGTACCTCGTCATGGCCGGCTCGTGGTGACTGACTCATTGTATAGGTAGAGTTACTGTCATTCATGGAAGATTTCATATGTTCTATAGCCACAAACATATAGTTACAATATTTATCGAACTAGATTTAAACTTTTCATGTTAAAAAAATTACTTTTGAATTGAATCTTGTATTATGCGAAGTTATATACAGTAAGGCCTTGATAGTAAAAAAAACCCTTTTCAACACGATAAAAACAACATTACGAATTCTGACCAAAAAAGAGTCATGTAATTGCAAAAACACAACAAAATACCCCTTTTTTACGCATTATCTTTTTTATCTCCCCTCCAGATCTAAGCTCACCCTCCCTGGAATAATTATAACTTCAACCCTTTGCGTTATATTTTTGTAAACAAAAAAATCTAGAAAAAATGATTGTTTGATGAAACTTTCTTTGTATTATAACACACTTATCACTCGAAAATTTTTTTAGACTTTATTGTTTTTAGACTTAATAAGATTCCTAAAAACTTCAAGGTAATTGCAATATTAGGTAATAATATAATGAGTTACAAATTAATTAACAATTCTTTTTACTGTCAATCGCTGATCCTAATTAATGTCCAAATATGACGCAGATGGAGGGAAAAAAATCTAAAGAGTCATAAACAGAATCCGCGCTGATGATTCACCGCGGAAAGGATCGATCAGAGCGTTATATCGTCGTCAAATAAAACCGCAGCTCGCGGCGCCGGCACGCCATTCAATTGTGTAACTTGCGCGCAGTCGGACGTGCGCGTACACTCGCTACTTGTACAGATCTTATCACAAGACATGGCTCGAGGCGAAGGGTTCCGAGTGCTCCTGCACGTGATAAATGGTGTCATGGTGGTACTCGCGCTGGCGCTCGCAGCCGCCTCCATCTGGTTCTTCTGCCAGGTGTACGAGTTCACCAGCCTGAGGAACAGTAATCACTACCTCCTCGACTACAAGCTGTACTGGCCCCAGGCCATACCGTGGATCTTCCTCATCGTCAGTGTAATAGTGTTGAGTGTAACCTCGTGCGGCTTCTCCGGCGCTAAAAAGAGCAGTCGCGGTCTGCTAACAGTTTATATAATCTGCATGTCTGTTGTTGTGTTATTGTTGATAACCGCCGCGGTGCTTTCTCTCGTGTTCGCCGACAACAAGTCCACGGATGACTTCGTGAAGGACACCGTGTGGGACGTGTACTTCCAGGCGAAGACAGACAACGACGTCGCAGCGTCTTTCGGCAGCATCGAGCGCAAGCTGCACTGCTGCGGCGCTGACAGCCCCCGCGACTACAAGAATTGGAAGTCTGAGTTTCCGATGTCCTGCTGTGACGTCTACTACCACGGTTTCCTGGACCCATACACTATTGAGTGCGAGTTCACTAACAAACTGGCCAACGAGAGGTACGGCTGCTCGACGGTGGCCGCGCAGTACGCCAGAATCGCCATCAAGGTGATGTCAGCGGCGGCGATATTCATTGCAATCATCTGTCTGATTGGCATCGCCATCGCCGTCGGCCTGTACAAGGCGCTGGAGCAGAGACCTCCGCCGATGGTCGTGCAGTACGAGTCCGAAAGCAAAAAGGTTCTATTGTAAAGACTCTAAGTAGATATAATGTGTTACTTGTCAGTGATCGTATGCCAATGATTCCGATTGGCCGACAGTAAATATTACGTCATCTCACCTTTAATATGGCAGGTTGTAACTTTGGTCCAGCGCGTGTGCCTGCAGCATGCGAATCTAGTCTTAATCGACGTTTACGTAGATTGATATAAAGCGGGAAATCGCGTGTTAGAGTAGTGACCAAATTTTGCAATATTTGTAAGTATTTATTGACACACCTTAGTGCTACTTACTATAAGAATGTGACCTTCTTCTTAAAGATGTTTTTATAAAACTATATAGCTTGTATAACTTTGGAATCAGTGACCAAATATATAAGAAATATTGCAATTATTAGAATTAAGATTTTGTTAAATACATTCCCGCCGAATGAAATGTTTTTCCCTTCTCACTGAGGAGAAAGTGACTAACTTCTCATGGTTATTGTATAATCGATGTCAGAACGATTCTTTGTGGACGTGTTAGTTAGTAATATATAGTATCCGATTAGCGACTTTGTAACAATGAACAATTACACAGATATGTTGTAATAGCAAATAATGAGCTTAATGACTGTTCATAATTATAATAGTAAAATTAATTAAGGTAATGTGTACAAAGTAATATGACACGCAATGCGCGCTTTGAAAATTCAATATTCTTTGGTAATTGTCTTCATACTTAGTAGTTAATTAATTAATTGTAACGGCAGAGTGTAAGTGCAAAAATCTCATAGTGTAAGTAAGTCGCGCAGAGCAGGCGGTTATCGCCTCCACCTTCGACAATCGTGTGCGCGTTGACTCTGAAAGTGTGTCATCGATAAAGCTCAAATTCGCGCGAACGTGAGCTCCGAGCGCGGCGCCCGCGCACGCTTTATAAAACTAGTTGCGTCAGCGGCGCGCTTTTCATTACGAAGGCTGCTATCGGAGACGACGGTCGACAACATGGCTAAGGTCGAGATGATCAAGGGTGTGCTGTACATCCTCAATATAGTGTACGCGGTGTTAGGGCTGGTGACCGCCGCCACCGGGATTTGGTTCTTCGTGCAGCTGCAAGAGTTTGTCACCCTGAGAAACACCAACCACTATCTGCTGGACTACCGGGTGTACTGGCCGCAAGTGGCGCCATGGCTCTTCATCCTGCTCGGCCTCTTCGTGATGATGGTCGCACTGTGCGGCTGGTGCGGCGCCAACAAGGAGAGCCGAGGACTGCTAGGAATTTACGCAATATTCCTGATCCTGATCGTAGTCGGGCAGGTTATAGCTGCCACACTCATCTTCGTGTTTGTCGACGGCGAGGATACGGACAGGTTCATAAAGGACACGGTGTACGACGGCTACTACAACTCGCAGTCGAACCCAGAAGTGTTCAAGGCCTTCGGGCGCATCGAGCGCAAGCTGCGATGCTGTGGCGCCAACGACGCTCGCGACTACCGCAGCTTTAGGAACGACCTGCCGCTCAGCTGCTGTCAGGACAGCTACTATCGCGCCACTTGCGACTTCACCGACAAGGAGGCCAACGAAAGGCTCGGCTGCGCCAAGGTCGCCTCGGTGTACACCAAGATCATCAGTTCATCGGTGGCTGGCGCGTCCCTCATCATCTCGTTGTTGGAGATCGTGGGCGTGGTACTCGCCTGGAAGCTTTTCAACTCGGTGCGGGAGGTGGAGCACTACATCACGGAGCGCAAGGAGGGCGAGACGGAGTGCTAGCAACGCGCCACCCTCAGTCAGTATTAATTGTACCGCCGATTTGTACCATCTTAGTTAGTAGCTCGAATACAACGCGACATCGACACCGACACCGACACTCCTGTAGTGACTTTACATTCATATACATATTTCTCTTAGCGCTTTCAGGGCGTTCCGCTCACTTAGGGATGAACTTCGTTTCCTTCAGTGAAGGAATTTAGGAATCTTTATCCCGGTTTTTCCCGACAGATTCACATTTACTTATGTCACCCTAGTTACCATTTAAGTGATCTAGCCATTACCAAGAGGTATATTAAGTTGCGCATTCATTATGTAGTTATTCAACGGCCGATTAAATACGCGTTTATTTAAATGTTTAGGTATAAGTTGTTGATATCAATTCTAAAGTGTAAATGTGCAGTATTTTGTGTAAGGGGGCCACGCCTCGAGTCGACTGTGAGACTGTCTTAGATTGGGTTTAATCAGCAATTTCCTCGTCTGATTCCATGATTCATTACCTGCCTTGAGTCACAATGGTGCTCAATTGCATCTCGTAATCTGTCAACTGACCTTCCCCCCACCACCCACCCTACACCTATGTTAATGTGATGTGTTCATTGCGCGCGCGGCTTGCGCAACCGCCTAGTGAAGTGCTAAAACCATCCATGGATAGTGACTCGAGATTTCCGATCGTGTCCCACTTAAGAAGGTCGCTTATGTGAAAATTCCGACCTTCGATCGTCCGACTTATAGACTTTATTACGACGACTCTAAGGTTCAATATAAATATTTGCTATTTGTTTACAAATCGACCATCGATGTATGTTAATTTTTACGCAACGGTGTGGCCCCCGCCTTAGCATTTCGTCATTTTATATTGTGTATTCAAGCGCCGCCGTGCTATTGACAGGTGTTCGTAGTTCTCGCGTTGTGTCGCAACCATTGCGTATTTATATAGTATAGTAATGTCGTCTCTGTATGTCGGTCCGTCTATGTAATGTTAATGCTTAGTCGAGGAAGTTTCCGTCCGTATGTTAACCGTGTTTGTGTCTGAGAACTAAACGACTGTCGAATGTAGTTGTAAAAGTTGTAATGATCGTATATATCCGTGTGTTAATGTTTGCAATCCGCATGCCAAAGAGAATGTACCTAAACATGTACACAAATGTATATATTTTGCATGCAAAAAATATATTTTGTTTTTTTTTACAATACGCGCGCGTATCACACACTTCTGATACTTTATATTTAAGACAATTTTATAGAAATAAAAGAGATATTATGTAAAAGTCGTACCTAGTCTTAAGCCATTTCGTTTGTAAAGAAAATAATAAACATTTTTTTATAAATACATATTTTATTTCCCTTATGAATATCATTGAAGTGCTCTTTAATATTTACTTCAAACAAGTTTTTTGAAAATCACTATCTCTGTTCAGATTCAGTTTCAGGGCTACAAGCTTATAAGCTCATTGCAATATGATTTAACTATATTTCTTTTATATAAAATGCTAAATAACTTTACAAATATTATAAAGATCTCATGTTTTAGATTATTCCAATCAATATTAGCTTTTACATATTTTAGTTTCATATTCATTAAAATAAATTCTAAACAGAAACATAACATTTCTGCCAACCCTATAACCACGCAGCGTGAAGTTATTTAGTTGTACAATTGTATGTAATTACATAAAAACGTGATTAATAAAAATCACGAACTAATTAACTAATAATTAATAATATCGGCAAATTATAATTGATTTCTTACCGCATGACTAACTGTGAATAAGAGAGGTCAATTCATAAACAATTATATAAGTACTGGCTGTCGCCCGCGAGTCCGTCCGCACTGAGTTAAAAAAAACTTAAGTCCATACTATGTTTTATACTCATACCAAATTTCATGGAAGTCCATTGAGCTTTGCTTTTATAATATTAGTAAGATTTAGGTCTGCCCAGTCGGATTGAAGTATGTACATCTTATAGGGCTTTTGTAATAGCTTTGGGCTTTCAAAGTACCAAGAGTCAAGGTAAACACACAGCACGAAGTGTTCAGTTAATACTCGACAAGGTGAGACATTGCGACACAAAAACTGATACTGCGTGACGCATATAAGGATATACATATGTATTTAAGATATACATAGGAAAAAAATACATTTTTATGATTCAGATAAAAGATATTTTAAATTTCCTCGGATTCGTCATCAAATTAGTTTCGTCATAGAGTTGTAATTTCGTAGCTTAAGTTTTTATTATCTGTGGGAAAACAATATTTCATATGTTACAGCTCTTGTCGCACAAATATTTGACAAACTCAAATTATTAAAGTGAGTGATACAAATTAAGTAAAGATTAAATTACCTTTAAACTGTGTGTGTGTGTGTGTATGTGTGCGTGTGGAGGAAAATTAAGTAACTGTATAAATGTATTTCCCTGATTTTATTATTCGTCAATATGTTTAACTGATACATACGCAGTATAGAGATGTAACTTACGTTATCTCGTCTCAGTGATAGCAAAAAATAAAACTATTCAAATGAATATTCTACAAACAAAAAGAGTACAATGCGGCTAATTAATATAACCATAGTGTACTACTCTTTCGACCTGTATTATCATCTCTGGTGTAAAGTGAATGCGAGAAAGGAAAACATGTTTCAATACAAATGATCGAGTGGAAACCTAAAACAGCGGGAAAATTAACACAGAATAAACGTGGCATAATTTAACTATACTCGTTTCTACTTCGATAAATAATTAATTTAACATAACAATTTATAAGTTATGAATCATGGTTTGTTGGCAAAATGTCGCCTCTAATTCCGATATTACTAAGTGACGCAGAATTGTTTAATTCAGTATGACACGACGCAAACTCTGTATAAGATTTTGTTCATTCTTATAAATATTTCAAGTATAAATCTTGATTCGATTAATTTTTTTCAAGTTCTTTGAAATGTAATGATTTCGCCAATTCACAAAATATCGTGACTACTTTTTTATGTTCTGTATCATTCAAGTGTACAGCGGTTCTCAAACATTCATTCAATATTTTCCGTCTTTTCTTTCAGTTTTATAGACAGAAATTATAATTTCTTAGGGAGTAAACATTTCAAATTAACGATTAAGATATAATTATTCTTTTGCATAATACTTGTTTAACAATAGTTACTTAAGTAAATTTTTGAAATTATTTAGCTAATATTGAACGAAACCTGGTGACCGCTCGTTTGTCACCTTCTAGTAAAGGATATGACCCAAAATAATGGAATGATATATTTGAACTTGTGACTGGCGAATCAATTTTTCTGTTATTTTTTATTAAAGTTTGACAGCCACTGTAAAAACCAGTTTGTTTTCGATGCACAAAAAGTATACGCGAGAGTACGAGGTGCCTTACTATGAAGTTACGAGGCCATTCATCGTATGGTCATCTGACCTACTTTAGCTCACAACAAACGTTTTTTAAATTCTTCAAGTTGTCTCTGACAGAAGCAGTATCTTGCATAATATTATCATAAAGTTCCACTACTGTGTTATTTGTATTGACACATATCGCTGTCTTTGTTTTTTATTATATAGAATAAGAAGGATGGCTATATGATAAACAAAATACTTGGACGGTCGAACCGCACTGTTATGTACCAGTTTAGTTTACTTAAAGAAGTCGTCTTTTGTTTTTTTATAGAAACTGATTACGTAGATATATATGTAAATGTACATCCATGCTAATATTATAATGTTTTATTTTTGTGTGTTTGTACGTCGTAAATACAATAAAACTATTTTACCGATTTGAAAAATTTCTTCAGCACAATATCCAATATTACAATGTTACAAATGCTATAACTAATATTGTTATAAGAAATATAAAAGGACAATGATAATTAATATATTTCCGATATAAATAATAAATGTAATAAAATGTACTTTGGCATTCTATCAGTTGAGTTTTACAAGTTAATTGTTTAGCGAGAACGTTTAGTGGCCTCATTCACTAACTGACCATCAAGTAATTGTACAAGCAATTAACTGAATACCTATCAATATCTCTTTATTAAATATAAATCAACTAACTGATGTACATTTCCACTGTTTATACATTTGTATACATACATTTATATTGACATATTAATTCTCCTCAATCTCTGAAAAAACAGACAACCATATTTATATTCCAATTTTTAAATAGTAAAGCTCGATACACACGTTTAGTTTTTACTAAACAGTTACAATGTTTAGTTAAAACTGAAGGTGTGTAGCGTGCTTTACACATATTTCTAACTCCAAAAAGAAACTACTAATCATTTATATGAATTATTTGTGAGCATATTAAATAAAACATCTTCAATAATATAACGTTTATAAGATTTCCTATTTGTTGTAACAATACAACAGCGATTAGTTCACAATTATTAGCACTCTACAGCACATAGTACGACATATAACCGGGTCACAGAGCTGTTTTTCACGCGCAAACCTTATCACCTGCTACAACATATTGCAGTACTTTACTTATTTGTTAAAACCTCCACACACATACACATACACATACACACACACATACAGACTCCGTGACGAATGTATCTCGTGTGCCAATTAATGGTAATAAATATATATTATCAGAGCCTATTTGTGTTAAATAATCCATAGTTATTAAACAGTGTAATTTTTTTTTAATTGAATTTAAGCAATAAAACAATAAACGAGACTAAGAACAATAACATTAAAAATATATATAAGTAAACAAAGTAATTTTTAACACAGGAAAAGGATAGAAAAAGCGCTGCGATCGAAAAAAAAAACAGAAAATAAATTACAATTATGACCTAAGTATTTCTTCCAAACAACAAAAGAACTCAATGAAATGATTAACCGTCTAATTAACGTTAAATTGATCGGAGAAATCTTTGCTTAGTTCATTCAAATTCAGGGCATCTCGTTTAGAAAGCGAACGCTAAGTGATTCCTCGTAACTTGCAACTACTGTGTGTCTCTTACATAATATGTACTTAC